AAAACCTACAGACACTTATACCATTTTAGAATAGTAAAAACACTCGCTTGTTATTAGAATGAGAATATAATGAGTGGGCAATGAGGACTATAAAAACAGTTTACATTAAAATCCCACCACCTGTTACATGTCTCCTGATGATTCAGAACAGTATCTTGGATGCATATACATCAGCATCCTAAGTAACAAGATAAAAGGTCCTTTGTAATTTTTTGTTAGAGACCACTGAAGAAAAAATGCATTAACTTTGAAGTGTTTATCTCCAAGTTATATAAATTAAACTTTGTACCATCATGGCAATACTTTAAAAGAAATGCTGGATGTTCAATGAAGCCTGCAATAAAATATAATTTCATTTTCTGAAAAAGAAAACTGATCACTTTTCTACAGATATTGCTTTGTTCCAGTGTAAGAGAATGCTGTTTTGTAGAAAAATATTTGACTATTGTCAGGGACTACATGGAAAGAGGAAAATTCCAACCACCTTTTCAATCTTTGTGCTTCCAAAGGGAATCAATCAAGGGAAATTAGATTAGGAAACTGATTACAGGAAAACAGGGATATTTAAAATAGAAAGAAAGAAGTGAAAGATGACTGGGTGTTCCTGGAAAATGATGTGTGCGCAACCCAAAACTACATTTCCGTAAATCAAGAGGAGAGCAGTTACTCAGTCCAGTTCAGCGGTGAAGTACTGACAGCAGCTACAAATAGAGAAAAGTGCAATCACAGAATGGTTGAAGTTGGGTCTAGTCCAAACCCCCTGCTCCAGCAGAGACACCTAGAGCTTGTGGCACAGGGTCGCACCTGGGCAGGTAATGATGCACATGATATAAAACACGGTGATGGTATAAAGTGAAAATTAGGAAATGAGGGGCAATAACAAAGAATAATGACACAGGAGCAAAGAAATCCGTGTTTGGCACAGCAACAGACTATCAGAGAGGACTTCTGGTGCTGTTGTGTAAAACACATAAGAGAAAAGATTTCTTAGCACTAGTCACTAGGCAGATCGTGTATAATTGCTAATAAATTCAGACAGCAAAATGACCAATAATTTATTTTTGATCATGTTGCCCTGGAGAGAAAATATCTTCCATTCCATTAACAAATAAAAGGGATGATATACAATATCCACTAGGCATAATCAATTTATTCAGTCTCAGGTAATTCATGCCAGAAATCCTTAACTTCTCCCTGAAGTTCTTCTTGGTCCAACAACATTCAGTTTTAATATATTTTGAAATACTGGGACATTCCAAAAGACTAGAAGAACACCAGTGTTGGGCCAATGTTCAAAAGGGGTAGTAGGATGGTCCATGAAACTAACAACCAGGAAAATAATGCTCACCCTGGGAAAATTCTGGGAACACTTATTTGGAATTTAATTGGCACAGCATTAAATAATAGTGGTATAATTAATATCAGCCAATCAGGTTTTACCAAAAATAGGTCTTGCTGCTCACTTTTAATTCCTTCCCTTGATAAGTTACAGGCGTGACTGATGCAGATAGCTTTATTGATGCAAGATCACGTTCAGCTGAGCCCTACATGACGTTAAAAGGTGGCAGTAGAAAATGTCACTTAAGCATGTCCTAAGTGAATTAAAGCCTAGACAAAGAGTAGGACTCAGACTGGCCATTGGAGGATGTGGTCAAATGTGCAAGTATTTCCAGTTCTTTGGGGTGTTGGATTAGACCCTTATTTCTATCAGCTGTTTTGAAGCAAACATACTATTTGATCAGATTTGCTCAGACACAAAGCTGGGGAGATTTCTGTGAGGACAAGGCAATCCCAGAACCACAAAATATTTGGGTCACATTGCAATCCCCCAGGATTGTGTCTTTGGAAGAACCCAGGGTGAACACTGCTATTGGGGAAGAGCAGGTGGACTGTCCTGCACTACAAGTGGTGGCCGTGCTCCAGGAAGCCACATCCGTGCAAGGTCACCACAGGTGAAGCCTGACCGTCACTACAAGTGCCGTGGTGGCCAGCAGCCCTGAAGGAGCAGATCTGTTCCCACCTTGCAGTTTCCGTGTTCCAGCTCAGATTGTGTAAGGAAGTTAAATGGACCCCAAACAACGTTTCCAAAAAAATCAAAACTCCCAAAGAAAACACTTTGTAGGGGTTTAGCTAGGAGCCAGCTCACAGGAGTCAAACAGACCCCAGCATTAGGCAGAGGGCAGGACTGCAATGCAGGAGCAGGAACAAGACGGGTGCACACCTTGGGTCCTTCGTTTAGCAGGCACTCATCGACTTGGAAGAGGAAAGGGCCTTTCTCTGAGACACGGAGCTTACCCCAACACTCCTCAAACAAGGCTGCAGCCTTATAAGGGCTATCGTAGCCCTGAGATGCTGGACAGCAAGGACCAGAAGGGATAACTGCACGTCTGTTCATGGTGAGAGTGGTACAGGAATACACAGGCTGTCCTGGTACCTGCGTTCCTAAAAACCTTTCAAAACGGACCAATGAATCACAGAAACAACAGGAAAACTGGAGTAAATACCTTCAGATGAAAGTTTGAAGGAATTCAACCTTCCTTTAATTTAGCAAAGGAAAGATTGAATGTTGACTTCATTCCCATGTATAAATACCTTCATATGAAGACATACCCAGGTATTAAAGTGCTCTTTAATTTAGACGATAAAGTATAACAACAGCTGCAAGCTGAAGCATGCAAATTTGAATGCTATATGCATTTTAAATAGTGCCGGTGATTAACCAAATAACAACGGAAAGGCATGGATTCTGTTCCTTAAAGTCTTTGAATCAAGACTGATGGCTCTCTGGAAAATAAGCTTAAGCTTTGCTTAACACACACACATGCACATACATACTTGGATTCCACAGAGGGTGACAAGGGTCCAGGAACGTACAGGAGGTTGGATCAGATATCATCACAGAATCACAGAATGCTGAAAGTTGGAAGGGACCTCTAGGGCTCATCCAGTCCAACCCCCTGCACACGCAGGGTCACCTAGAGCACGTGGCACAGGGCTGCGTCCAAGCGGGTTTGAAGATCTCCAGAGAAGGAGACTCCACAACCTCTCTGGGCAGCCTGTTCCAGTGCTCTGGCACCGTCACTGTTGAGAAATTTTTCCTTAAGTTCCTGTGGAACTTTTGGTGTTTCAGTTTCCTCTAGTTCTGTTGGTGCCACCAGTGAAAAGAGGCCGGCCCCATCCTCCTCACTGCCTCCCTTGAGGTACTCCTAGACACTGCTCAGGTCCCCTCTCAGCCTTCTCTTCTCCAGCTGAACAGGCCCAGCTCCCTCAGCCTCTCCTCATAGGGCAGATGTTCCAGGCCCCTGATCATCCTCGTAGCCCTGCGCTGGACTCTCTCCAGCAGCTCCACATCCCTCTTGTCCTGTGGAGCCCAGAACTGGACACAGTACTGCAGATGTGGCCTCACCAGGGCTGAAAGCCATAGTCCTACCGGGTCTTAGCCTCTAAGCTCCCATAAATACTGAAAGACAGTTTGACATCTCTCTTTGAAGCACAGAAAGCAGGTTGTAAAAAGAGTAGTAATAAAGTGGTTTTTCACAAGAATTAGGACTCTGAAAGTGAGGTGTCCCAAGGCTCACTCTACTCCAATGCTCTATTTTCACATCTCATAACATCCCCTGTGATTTTGCCTTCAGTTCTGAACCAGATCTACACAACTAGTTGGACCAGTCTTTTTCTTCTTCCCCCTCTACATTTGAAAGTTTTCTCGGTGCTCAAGAGCCTGATCCTGTAATCATCTACTCTGCAAAATCATGATCTACACAATCATCCAGGTTATTCAGATCCAGAACTTTCCCAAGAACTTTCAAGCAACACACTGCACACTGCACTCCACAACATGTACTTTGGAAAACTCAGCTTTAGGAGCATGGAGGACTTCCTTGAGAAAGAAAGATTCCACAAAATATGTGTAAGGCCTCAAACAAAAACCAAATCCAACCAGAGGCGAGCAGTTTTGCAACGCTCCAGGACAGACAGCGAGCACACTCATGTGCATTAACAGTTTATTTCTCATAGAAGGCATCAGCAGATCAGACACAGCAGCTACACCAGCAAAATAGACAACATAAACACTCTGGGCACTATCTGAATGGGCCTTGCCAGAGTTTGGCTGAACCAGGTTTTAACCTTCCCAGTTCAGGAGCTGGCATGGGCCAGAGAGTATAGCAGTGAGAAAGCCACCATGCTGCACCAGCTGATCTGCACACACTATGTCACCAGCACAGGGGTGGCCGGCACTTCAGGACCAACCTACAAAAGCATCCAGCTCAACCAAAGGCACGGAGAAAATTAATCATCAGACTGGGGACTATTCCTGCGTTGGGAATGGGTCACGATTAGCACACACACAAGACCAACTCACTATACTGAACACAAATAAAGCACATTATTATAAAACAGAAACAGCAGAAGTAGCAACTCCTCTTCCAGAGCAGCCCTGCAAGCCACCACAAGCACAGGAATGAGCAGAGGTTCAAAATCAGAGAAGAAGAAACATAGTGGAGTCTTTATCACTTCTTATGCCCACAACTCAACAGCAAGTGCTCTAGATTTCCAGCCTCTCAAGGGTGCATTTTTACTTTCATTTAAATATTTTATTAAATCTTCTCACTGCTTCACGAACAGTTCCTTGAGCTGCAATATACGTTCACCCAACTTGCCAATGCCAGAGACAGCTTCATCCCCCCTAGAGCCTCAGATCGACAGATGCACAATCCCATAAGGTTTTGATCTTATCCTACACTTCTGGACTATGCACCTTTTTCCCCATGCTACCTGCTGGCAAGACCTTTATAATTTTGCATCTCAAGGCATTCAAGACTCGAGAATCATGTGAAAATACATTACTGAGAAATTCTCCTTTCCCCTCTCCATCCCAAGCCTTGCATTTCCGCCAACAGCAGTTGCTATTACCCCCCACCCCAAACAACGACCCCCTGCTCCACCCCAGGCACTTTCTCCCATAACCACATTCCCTTCTCCGGGGAAGCTGATCTCACCTCCAGTATCTGGATCATGAAAGTTGGGGTCCAGGCCCTTCTCCAGGAGTCTGCAGACCTTCTCCGCGTTCATCATTTGCACGTACTCCATGAACTTCTTCAGATTTGCCTGCAGCCATGACATCCCAGGAAAACACACAATACACAGTGTTAACACACCATGAGAGGAAGGCCATGAGAAGAATGTACCCAGTTCAGGGGTCTCCAGGCAACCAGCAATAACATGGGACAGCACCGACCAAGAACTAGAGCACACAGTCATTCCCAGACTCCTTAACTTACCGGAGCGTATGCTGCAAATCTCCTTCTCTCCCACCTGACTGGAGATCACTGCATCATTTCGTGGAAGTTCTCAGGGGCTGACAGCCACCACCCTCCCTCTGCCCATGCACAACCACCCATCGTCCCTACAAACGCACTGTCAGTTGGTGCACGCCACGCGGGCACACGGACTCCTCGCACATCGTGTGCATTCAGCACATTCGGTGCTTGCTATGGGAGGAGGTGGGCGACTTCCCGCTACGCAGCACGTTGGGGTAAGACATCCTGCCCAGGGCTTTGCGCGTCCCTGCAGCGTCACATACACTGCGTGTGGCCCAACCGCATTTTTACGTGGCATCATCTACTTGCCTGTTGAACCTGAAACAACTAGGAGGGAAGGCCAAGTTCCTCAAACACTGACTCATATTGTAGAGTGCAGTGAGTTTGGCAGTCATTCTCTCTGCTGTGAAACTGTTTATTCTTGGCGTAGTTTTCAAACTTGGATCAGAGACTAAATCTCTTCTCCAGAGGGGAATGAACACTCAGAAGACTCTCGTCTAGCTCTACCAGGTTGCTTCTGGGGATTTTCCTCCCTTGCTTTTTCTCTTCTGGGTAGCTCTACATGACAAATACATTATTTTAACAAATTTCACAATAATGCATAGATCTAGAAATTACAACTCCACCAGGCAGGCAGCTCATCACTTGGATGAGCTACAGTGTGAAAATACCCTTTCCATACACATTTCCAAGCCAGCTTTCAGATCTTCAAGCGCAGGCTTAGATTTTTCCTCTTTGAGCTCATTTCCTCACACCTTGCAGTGGTTGCTGAAGGAAGGGGGTCCACAGAGTGCTTGACACGGCAGAGGTGCTGCGTAATCAGCTGAGGGAGTCTGTCGGGAACAGCTTTAACCCACCCATCAGGCTGCAACCAGTGGTCAGGGAAGTGTCCCAGAACCAACCTCTGGCTGACTAAACACTTGCAAGCAAAGCTGATTTTCCACCCCATGAAAATCTCAAGTTTCAACATTTGTCACTAATTTCACATAAAAATATGAACTCTTCCATGAGACGAAGTGAATTCCATCAAGGTCCTTCACTTCAAATTACATTTCAAAATTTCCCAGTCAAAAAAAAGGAAAAAAGTAAGATGCTGAAACATTTCTGAGTCCTTACAAAGATTTCTTAAAAAAATACATCTTATTTTGCACAAATTTTTGATTTTTTCCAAAGAAAAACTTAATAGTTTTAAAACCAGTTCTATATGAACGTCTGCAAATCCCCAAAGATGGGACCCACCAAGTTCACCATGACCCTCTCTCCTGCATGCTGAGGAGACAGCAGTGTGATGTTAGACAGAAACACCACCAGGATGAGGCTTCCTAAGCATAAGACAAATTCATGTTGGGCTGTCAGCCTGATTTAAGCCAAATTCATTCTCTGGATGGTTAGCCTGCACAACCAAACTCCAAATATATAGCACTTTTTTTCTAAAATCAGCAAAATGGATGGATACCATAAGCAAGCCATGCCATGTACTTAAAATTATCTATGCATGTTAGTGCACTGCCCCCTGCATGCTCTGCCATCTCAGAAGTTAATTAACTCAGGCAGAACATGACGGCCCTGCAGATCCGCTGTGCTCGAGCGGGCGCCAGGAGCACTCGCTCTGCACGTCAGCAGTCACACACAGTCCTGCCAACGCTGGTCCGAAGCACAAAGCCACAAAGTGAATTCAGTTACAAGGTTCACTGTTCCTAATGTTCCCCAGGGACAGTGCTGCAGCAAGGCAATCGTTAGGAGCAAAAAAGGAAAATGAGGCGCTAGTGGGAGACGGCTGGTGCCACAGCCTCCTGCCCTTGGTGCAGAGCCGCAGTTCTGACCCCTTTCCCATGGCCTCGCTCCTCACTGCAGGGCCCCACTGTTCCCTCCGACCACTGTCAGGGTCACCAGAGAAAGGCCAGCACGCGGCAGGACAGTGCCAGCGCACCAGCAAGGACAGGTCCTTGAGGAGCACAGCGGAGCAGGTCTCCAGCATCACAACAAGTGGAGAGAAAGCGATCCTCGCAGCACAACGTTTGTCTCCCGAGCACGGCAGAAGGGGAATGATCATCAGTTGCTGCAAGGCCCAAACTTCACTTTCTCCTATGGGAAGGCATTGCTTGGACCTCACTGTCACACATTCCCCCTCGCCCAAGTCTCCTCTTGCTCCATCTCCCAATGCCCATTTCAACATCACACCAGTTGTTTCCACAAATACTGCAAAACCCTGTAAGAGATCATGGCTGTGTGCCAGCCCCAGCAAAGAGTGGACTTGACAATTGCTGCAACCACTTCTAGGATGTGACCACAAAAAGTCCCTCCTTCCAAGCACAACTCAGCTGTGCAGAGTTAATCCTGTTCTTCCCGCTCGGGCTTGTCCATATGTCCCTTCCCCTCCCAACAGCATCTTCCTGGAAGCAAAGTGCCCAAGCTGAGCTCCATCCATGATACTCCACAGATGGCCTTGCTGAAGCCACACAGGTGCTCCCCATGAGGTTGTTCTCCTTGAAATCTCTCGTCCCTGTCCAAGCAGCACAGATTTCTGCAGGAGCACTGTTTCAGCTAACGCCAAGGGCTGGCGTGCCCAGGGCAGGGTTGTCCTTCTGCATCGACCACCTCTGCCCATGCACCCTGCCCGTGCAGCAACCGGCTCTTCTGCAAGGTGGAACTCATCCTGTCGAGGGTTTGGGTGATGTTAGGGGTGTCCAGGTGATGCCAACAGCAGGGTCAGCCCTGTGACACCTGCGCTGGGAGAGAAGAGCCAAGGTGGGCAGATGCAGGACGCTTGGGGATGAAAGCCCAGGGGCAGAAAGGCGCAAGGGAAGCGCTCCCTCCGGCAGGCGCTTCGTGCCCTCCGCGCGGGTCTCCTCGGCGCTGCGCGTCCCGCTCACGCTCCCCGACGCGGCGCTCCACAGGATGGCAGCACACGCTCGCGGAGGACAACCCGCTCCCCGCGCACTGCCCCGAGGCCTGGGGCCAAAATCCGTGCCGGGCCTCCTGGCACAGGACATGTCTCGTGCGGGATCCCCTCTGCACCTGGCAGCAGCTGGGACCTCAGTTGGGTTCTCCTCCACAGCCCACGGGATCCCCAACACTCGTCACAGCGCCCAAGTGACCACCACGTGATGCAGAAACCCCTTAACTAACTGAGCTTCCCCTGCCTCCTTCCTTCCACCCTCTGCCAACATCCCATCCACTGGAAAGGCTTCCTCTGAACTACAGGGCAAGGTCCTACTGCAGAGAAGTCTATGGCAAAACTGAGTGCCTGCCAAGGCAAACACCGCTCCTCCGTAAACACAGCACTGGTCCACAGCAACTTCACTTCTCCGTTACTGCTAACGCATTTCAGAGAGCAAAGAGAAGGTCTGCTCTGGAAGCCCTGCCCAGGACCCCCCATTTACAGCTCCCTGCAGACACCATACCCAGAGCATCGGTGCCCACCAGCAGTGTGCTGGGACGCACTGCTCCTATTCTAGGAATTTAGAACATGGGGTTACATATTAGGAAGTTGATGCAGTATGTCAACCTTAATGGGAGCTTTTATGTTTTAGAAGGAAACTAAAGTTAAGATGACTGAGTTAAAAGGTCATATGGAGGAAGGCATCCCACTTCTGGGATTTGCATTTCCTCTCTGTAGATGCCTGCTGCCCTTCATAGTTCCCACACACCGTGCAAGCATTAATGGGTTCACGCATGGGATTTGCGCTGTGGGTAATCAGTTACTATCTTGACTTTCCAAATGAAGAACAAAGAAGAAACATCCCCTACCTAAGAGTTCCGACCAAATCCATAACAAAACTTCAAAAATAACTTGTCAAGTCCAGAGACTTAACTGGTTAAATTTCAAAGTTCATGAAGGAGAATATTCCCTCTCTCCTTCAGTTTATGGCTGCCTCTTTGTGCAGTGCCGTGCTTGAGATGTGCAGTTTGGTGCTGTTCACCAATCCCAAAACAACTTAGAGGAGCAAGACGAGAACAAAATGATTTCTCACTGCTTGTCCGGTTTTGTTCCTTTGAGTTTGGACCTAGGCCTTGGTGAACAACCAAATGCGCAACAAAACCAGGGACATAAGCAATGAAAAAGACCATTTACCAGAACTGAAGTGCTACAAAACCATTAGAATCTCATACCCCATACTTGCAAATGAATCTGAAATAACAAGGAAACCACTCCGTTACAAGGAAAGGTCCAAAAAAAAAAAAAAAAGGTCACTTGTAACCTGATGATGTCAGTGCTGAGGTTAGCCTGGACTTCCCAAAGGGTGTGCAGCTGGAGCAGGGAAGTGTGGCAGGAGCGAGGAGCAGGGTCCCCTCCAGTCCTTCATGCCAGCAGGAGGGTTTGGACCCGCACTCGGGGTGACCAAGCAGCCTCTGCAGGGACTAGAGCAGCTTGATCTTAGGCACAGAGAGCAGCAGTACTTAAAAAGCCTCCATAGGTTTCCCACTACTAAACAGCTTTTGGTTCCTTATTCTTTGCCAATGGACAAATGGGCAATTAAACCAATTAAGCTGTTTCCCAGAAGCAAGATAGATAAAAACATATTGTTTCAGTCAAGTTAAATATTCCTATGACCTTGAAAACAACCAATAGAATACGCAAACCCTTGGGAGGCACTCTGCTACTCCCCAAATAGCTACAGAGAACTATATCCATAGCCAGGTCTGGGAAATGACGGGAATGAGATTATGCAAGAGAACAGGAAACAGACAGTTCAATATCTCAGCAATGGGCACCCTTCAAACGGACACATCGAGGGGCAGCAGCTCTCACCCTCGAAGGTCCCACATGCCTTTTGCCTTCACAGC